AGGGGGGGGGTAAGTGTTTTACGGCGCTCACAACTGCATAAGGTCATAATATGAGCGCGCGGGACACATTAAACTTTTTCAGTTGGTAGGACATTTTGAATTTTGCCCGGGTGGCGGTTGAAACCTACTCTTATCGATTGAAGACCAGCAACGGATCTTTAACGTGTGCAACTTGCACGCAGGCCCTCCAAGATTTTTCGCCCTTGTCCGAGAGGCCGGGTGTAGATATTTCCTACCAGAAGATAGGGGTGCGACGGAAAGACAGCAGTAAAAAGGAGCAAAGGAGTAGCAGTAGAAAGGCTGCAGAAAAAGTCAGGAGCCCAGAGGAGGGGAGAGTCGGTTCGTTCACTGACATGCAAATTCGGAGTTCACACCATGCGCACTTTAAAGTCTATGCTTTTGTCAGTTGACTCAGTGGGCAATTTAGCTTTCCGCAATCAAACAAAATAATGATGCAGGTGTCTATAAATCTAAATAAACCCACTGTCACACACTTACCACCGGACTGAAAACAACTCAGTCTTGCGGCACATACAGTCAATTCGAAAAAAAAGTTTTAAAAAACCAAAACAAAAACAAAAACTAATCCTCAACTACCGTTCCTGTTCCAATAAAAATCCCTGTGAATACTGTCATTAAATAATTATGATTACATACAGAGAACACCTCTTTATATTTGTCAAATAAATATGCACAAAAATCTAGATTTTTTAGGGGTTTTTTGGAATTTAGTGGAACATGCAAAAAATCAGGGCAATTCGCCACTTAGTTTCTGTGTAAAGAGGTGGGCAAGTTGTCCATTTGGTGTTGTCCAGATTATAAGTATACTATTCCAGGTACCTTTTTCAGGAAAAAAGGAAAATTGTGTTTTAAAAGCAAAGTTATGTAAACGTCTCTGGTTTCTAACTTGATTTTTATTTTTTTCATCAGTGCCCGTGGCATTTTTTTTTTTTTTAAATCAAAAGGCTTTCTGTACTGTGCAACTCACTCGATCACACTCTGGTGATCTAGGTAAACTCATTTACCCTACGGGTCCACAGAGACGGACACGGCCCGAACTTTTGTCGGGAGGAAGACAATCGGTCGGGTCTTTTCCGTCTTGAATGTCCACCAGTTCGGACAAGACACGTCTAGTCTGTTGGCCTGCTGGCCTTATTATTCCACACACTGTGTCCTAAGGCTGTGTCCTCGGTTCAGGGCTATAAATAGTCGAGGTCAATGAACCCAAGGCGAGAATAAGAAATGAATGGGGTTTTCTAAAGGAAAATTGGTAAAAATGTTAATATGCATTTAAACCAGGTGGTTCGCGCGTAGACTTTGCTAATTTTGAGGCGCTGATTACGAATATGACATTAGAATTTTAATCTGAACTCAAAATTAGATTGATTTTTTTTTGGCCCCGGCGGGGCCTTTGGCTCAGGAGTCATGACCCGGCCCGGCTAAAATTGAGCAAGCGGCTTTCCAGCCGACACGTCTTTTGTCGGGGAGTGTCGTGTCGTGTCTGTTGACACAGCCAAACGGACTTTTCACTGATTTCTTAGGAAATAGGACGGTGCTCCATTTCAACCACCGACTTTCCGAGAAACGGACGTTATCGGGTCGGTTGGTGTCCGTCGCAGTGGACACGGGCCCTTATTCTGACCTAAGAATCTTCTGGAATCTTACCCCAGCCGACATTTGAAACCTCTCTCTGTCTCTGTGTCTCTGTCTCTGTCTCTCCTGTCTCTGTCTGTCTGTCTGTCTGTCCGTCCGTCCCTCCCTCCCTCCCTCCCTCCCTCCCCCCCCCCTCTCTCTCTCTCTCTCTCTCTCTCTCTCTCTCTCTCTCTCTCTCTCTCTCTCTCTCTCTCTCTCTCTCTCTCTCTCATTTTTATTTTACCAATGAAGCCAGGCGACCCCCATGTCCTTCTAACGCAAATATCCAGATACATGAGTATTTTAAAAAATCAAATGCAAGACAGGTGGGTGTGCTTTACTGATTCCGCTGAGTCGTGACACATAGAGTGGTGTCCAAAAGAAACTTGAAAATCTAGTCACCAAATCATCGTGTTAAAGCCTCGCTTTATTTACTCAGGCAGCATACCAATTTTAAGCTAAATAAATTTTGACCATTTGACTTTGACACATTTATAATTCATCAACGTTAATAGATGCCCGAGATATGGTCACTTAAAACTGACTTTAAAAAATCAGGCTCGGCAAAATGGTGCGAAATCAAAGAAACGTAAAATTGTCTTCGTGAATGTATTGAGAAGCATCAATATTGACAGAAAGGACATACATTACATATCTAATGAATGGAGAATTTTGTATTGCAGTAAACAATTTTCTATTTTGATATTTTGTCTCGATAGTTACAAACAAACCAGAAAACAGAGCAATCCCAAATACCATGCAAAACTTGGACCATTAAATGTGCTCATTATTATTTTGCTTAGGTGTTATTAGTTTTGTGTAGTGCACGAACCATTTGAGATTTGGACATTGACCTTACTAAATTTTGGACATAAGTATCTGTCATATTATATATCATTTTGCCCTCACCCCTTCCCCTCCTTTTGACACTGCCTATCAGGACCAATACAGATAGGAAGGGGATACACGCATCGGAAGACACATCAAAACATTTGGTAAAATAACTTCTCATCGCAGGGTTCCATCTCACTTCTTTGCGCGCGACAGCAAATCATAAACCGTTACAGCAAAGACGCTTTGCGCACTAACCATTACTTTTTTTTAAAAATACTAACCTTTCCAAGACCTATGGTGAGCATCTGTGCCAGTTCGTTGTGATGAATAAGCCCCCAGGGAAAACTGTTGTCGTTTTCATCCATCTCCAGCAGGCCATAATCAGGGCTGGCCCCACGGGCCACACTGATGGTGGCTGCTGCACTGTTGAACCCGCTCCCACCATCGCAAACTCCATCAGCGTCGCCACTTCCTCTACCACCTCCTTCCGCTGCACTGATGTGTCGCATGCTGCCATGTTTTCCATCACCACCGCCGCCTCCTTTGCCAGTTCCGTGAGCTGGGACGGCAGCCATCAGGGGCATAACCTGAGTGCTACAGCTAGGAGGTGAGGTTGGAGGAACCTCAGAGAAGGAAGCGATGTCTCCACTTGTCTCCGAGCGTCAGCTGCATGAAGCTTCTAAACATCGTGCACACTCCTGGAATGGAGAAAAAAGCAGAGACAGTCAGGTACTGATTATTAAGTTAAGTAGTTAAGCGTTAAATCTTCACATCAAGACAGCCCTCTCTACATTGGTTCCCACCTGCCAATAAACTTTCACCGGTGGCTCCATGAAGCAGCAGCATGCGTAGCGACCTAACCAATGGTAACCGCTTTGGTAGGTGGGCTGAACCAGGTAGAGGGTAGCTGGTCAGGTTTCAAACCCACTGGTGAGCAAATTAGGGTATGTCTCCCTATGCATGCAAAGACTGCCTCCAGCGGACTGCGTGGACTCATACCACCTAGGAAGAAGTTTGACGCTCCTTAGTAAGATCTGGAGTCACCAAGTTCGAGGAAAGACGCATCAGAAACAAAGAATGGATACGGCAGTTGAGAAAAGATTGAAAGAGCCCTACCTTCCAGTCTAGTTCCGCCCCAAACATCCCCTGCCCCAACTGCAA